CGCCCCCCAGCCGTACACATTCTCCAGCGCAACAGCGAGATTATTTACGGTGTGTGTTGGCGTTATGCAAACACGGAAAAAAAAAACAAGCACCCCCGCCCCCACCCCCAGAATGCGACTCAAACTGCCGAGCGGAGTTCGAAAAGGGGAGCGAAGCGAGCGAGCGTGTTGTTGTCGCGCACTAGTGGCAAAACCAAAACGAAGGGCCGCTCTCCCAAACGAGCTGCAACCGGACACTCGCGAAGCCTCCGACGGCTTTTGTTTCTCGGCCACCAAACTCCAGCGGCGTTTTAGGCAAACGACGGAGACGTTTTCGAGTTCCGAGTCGACTCGAAATGCGACGCCGAGCGTCGTTTCGATCGTCTCCGCGAAACGTTCGAGCGACTTGAAATCGAAGCGCCACTCGCGCCTCTCGTCGTTTGTTTTCAAGTGTCAAACGAGCGCGGCCCGATTCAAAGCGGCGGGACAGCAACGGCAGCAACCGAGAAGTGGCCGCGAAGAAGCGCGCCCGTCCCGAGGCGACTCACCTGCTTTGGGCGACACTTGGACGTCTTCTTTGTGCACTTGGGTGATAACCGAACTTTCCATCGGACAATCGCGGAGCCCTGAAAATCCTCAATTCCTGTCCCCGGGCACTGACGGGTAGCCCTCATTGGCTGCTATCTTCACGGTTCCGACCCAGCCGACGGTTCGCCGAGAACGCCTGTCACTGGCGTCTTTCTCGCGCCCTCCCGCGTGGCTGGCCTGCTCTCTTTCTGTCTCTCTTTCTGTCTTTCTTCCCCGATGCCTTTACTTTTTTTTTAGTTCGCACCCAAATAAATAAATAAATAAAATGTTAAAAAAAGAAAAAGCGGGCTGAGCCCGGAACCGCTGCCCGGGCACGGCTTTTCGACGGCGATAAGAACGAGCTAGTGGGCGGGGTGCGGGACGGGGGGGGGTCCTTCCTCGGCTTCCCGCGGCCGTCGAGTCGTCACCTTTGCAGCAGCGGCGCCGGCGGCGGCGGCGGCGGCGTCAACATGGAGTAGAATCCAGCGGGCGCGAGCGAGCCGACGAGGAAAACAAGCGAGGAAATGGGGCAAGCCTGGTCGGTTTCAAGCTCCCCCTTACTACACATAAACAACCTCGGCCGGACGCCCTCCGAAGGCTCTCAAAGCAGCGGCCCCTCGAGGCTACGCTTTGCCCCCGCGCGAAAAAACTCCACTCCGGCCCCAAATGACAGAAATACGACTTTTGTCAAATAGCCCGCGCGTTGTTTTTCTCCGGTTGGCGCCCGGCGGGTGCCCTGAAACCGGCCACCTTTTCTGATTGGGAGAGCCGCGGATAGGGGGCGTGGTCGAGGCATTCCTCCCAGGCCCGCACGCGTCACATTCCAGCCCCGCGAAGAGCTGCTGTCATTCGCTAACTTGATTGTTACGTCCGAAAATAAACAACAAACGAACCACGACCGAGGCGCTTCCGTGCATCATCATGCAAATAATCTATCCGTCGATCGACCGACAGTATTGATCCTGAAAATTGGCCATTGTTGCACGTTCGGGGACAGAATGTCACTCGGGTAATAAAAGAGCCTGTGAAATCTAGGATGCGACACCGATAGGGTGTGAGAACGGGGTGCCACCTGGATTCGACCTTGATTGGTGTCAATTTGAAATTGAAACGACGCTTTTGCGTTCCCTCCTCAAACGCAGAGGCACCCGCCTCTTGGTTGAACTCACCCTGCCGTGCCAGACCGGATTCGGTGGCTCCGTTGAAAAGTGCAGTCAAAACCTCGAGCCGAGACTCGATTTAACGACAGAACTCGCGCAGCTAAGCGGGAGTGCCGTGAAGCCGAACGAAAGTGAGCAAAAAAGACAAGTTCTCCGATGACGTTTGGACAAAATGCTGCCATTTTTCTTAAAGAGGCCAAAAGACAACATTGATCAAACCTAATTCGGGATCATCGTCCAAACCCACGTGTACCATTGAAAAGTAGTGGTTCCGTACCTGAACCCCATCAGCCTATTTGCGCGGACTCTCGACCCGAAATGTGCAAACGATCCCCCTTCGGTTTTTCATCGAGAAGGGTTCTACAGCTCGGACTCTCGTTTGGAAGACCACATTTGACCCGCCCGTTCGTGTCCCGTGTTGGGCTGTGTTGAATTCTTGCGAAGCTGTGTCCTTGACGTTTTTAGAAGAGGCGGTGTGCCAGACGAAGCCATCTGGCTCCGCTCGTGACTCCGTTCCCGCGCATTTCTTACGGAGGTTCGAGTAGCGCTACGTCGCTCTTGGCCGTGATCAACGGCAGGTGCGCTTCCCCAACATGCTGCGGTGCAAGCCTTGCTCAAGAAACCCGGCCTTGATCAAGATGTACGGTCCAATTGGAGGCCCATTTCCAAGCTGCCTTTCGTTTCAAAAATTCTGGAAAAAGTGGTGAAGATCAGACAGCAAAACTTTATCGATCTAACAATGGAGAAATTTGCAATTTACATTTGGAAAGCCCGCAGTTCAAATCGTTCCTGGATGAACATGACGTCTTGGAGGTCTTCTATGCGGATGGCCGTCGGATCGATGCTCCGCTGAGCAAAAAAAGACGCTTTCTCATTGAGGCCACTTTTTTGTTCTTTTTTTCCGTGTGCGCTTTCGAACCGTCTTTGTTATTCATTGATTGTTTGTCGCATGATGAGAAGCACGAAGGCCGGTCCTCCGTGGGGGCGGGGGGTCGGAGTCGAGTCACTACGTCATGTCGAGAGGAGCCAGACGAGGTGGCTCGGGCGTCTGTTTAGGATGCCTCCCGGACCACCCCGATGAAGCGGTCCGGGCACGTCCCACCGGCCGGAGGCCCCGGAGACGAGCCGGGACACGCTGGAGAGAGGCCGCGTCTCCCGGCTGGCCCGGCCGGGAACGGCTTGGGAGCCCCCGGGAACAGCTGGAGGGAGGGTCGAACATTTTTCAACGTGTGCTTTTTGCACAGGACACGAGTGACGTTTGTCCCGGAGGAGGTTTGCAGCGGCCATAATTGATCGTCAACGGTGAACTGTTCCAAGTCAAAAGTTGGCTTGCTGTCAACAAATGATCAGTGAACAAAGCGCGTTGTTTGGGAATTACGCAGGATGTTTGGAAATTGAAAATGTGCAAACGGAACAAGTGGTGAAATGAAGTTGGAATCGAAACCTCGTCACAGAAAATGTGCAACTCCGCATTTATTGATCCATCATCGGTTAGCCCGTCCTTTAGATCAGTTTCATGCGACGTATGCACACACAAAGTCTGGCTGCGGGCGCATCTTGGAGGCAGAAAACACACGCTGGTGCCGTGGGCTGTCAGAATGGAAAGAGCGCGCACGGAGATCTCGTCTTTTCTAGAATTCCTGCCGGTAAACGCCCCTTTCAGAAAACCGGCCAAAGTGATGGTTACAAGCTTGACGACGTGAGAATTGGACCGAAGAGGCGATTATGAACGCTCGCCTTTGCAAACAACGGTCACGTCATTAAGATGCGCTCGCGTCTCGGAAGCAATGTTTGCAAACACTGAAACTCATCTATTGCGTTGCCATCGAGGGGAACGCGTTCTCAAGCGCCTTTCGGAATAGTTGCGCTTTACACAAAAGAGTCACGAGGACGTTCGCGACGGTGCCGACAATTTTCCCCAAATCAATACGTGACTTTGAAAATGGAAAATGATGACACCTCGTTCGTTCCATTTATGACCGGTCAAATTTTGTTGAAAGCTTTGAAGAATTTATCGACAGGTAACATACCGAAAGTTCATGTCAGAGAGGGAACGCACAAGTTCGAAGGAAATTGCCCTCACCATTCAACTCTGAAAAGTACGAGCTTCTCTGTCTGTGGTGTTCAATTGCTGACCGCACTAGATTAGAATGGAAAATTGCATTATTTCTATGATAACCTTCTGTGATTCGATCGGAGATGATACGCCTTCACGGGCCACGTGAAATGATGTCGCGGGCCGGATCCGGTCCCCGGGCCTCGACTTTGACACCGACGATGTCGTATATGTCGACGTGTGGGAATTAAAACTGAAAATCGAAGCAATTTGAATTTTACCGTGAAAAGTGTGACATTTGGGGAATGTGGAAATTGTTGGTGATGAATTTTGAAGGTGTGCAACTTTTTGGTTGAATGTCTTACTGGGAATGAAGGGCGAATTTGGGGCTGAGGGGCATGTGGAATTGGAGAAAACGGTGAACTTCACGAAGGAGAAAAACACCGTGGCTGGCGTGAATTTGGGGAATATTTTGAACTTGGAACGCTTTGAATTGGTTGAGAAATATGAAAGTAGAGAAGTGGGTGGGAGGGGGAACAATAATCCAAGTTTTTGGGTGTGGAATAACATCAGGATGGCAAAAAAAGAAAAGCGCAACAGCTGAAAAGGAAGCGCTCGCCGAGAGCGGCCGGGTCGCCAGTCACGTGATTTGCTGGAAGAGAACGCCCACTCCCGACAACCTCCGCCGCCACCCGAGCCGCGCAACCACTAGCGCCACCCCCACCCCAAGCCTCGGGCCCGCCCCCGGTCGCCTCCGCTGGAAGTTTCCAGGAAAGGGGCCTCGCGGACAGGCTGCGAGGCCTCGGCGGGGAGACGTTTGGCTCATTGAGAAAAACAAAAACACGCAGGCGGGCGGGAAGACTCTCCCTCTTACATAAGTCGGCCTCCGTGACACCAGAAGAAGAAAACAAAGGAGACAAACCCGTCCGGCCGCCACTCCTCAGCGCACTTGAGCGCGCGCGGCGACCGCAAGGCGAGCAAAACGGAAAGCGACGAGGCCGCGTGGGAATTGCACACTTCCGCATCCGAGCGATCGGAATGGGACACATTTGTCACAAGCGCCATTGACGACGAGTCTCGGCAAGCGTTACCGCACGTCGAACGAAACGGAACCCTCGTCCCGGACGCGCGGCGTCGAGCCCCAAGAGATCGGCAGTCTGGCCACGGGAAATACGGCGGGGCCCCGAGATGAGAGTTGAATTTGTGCCGTGGCCACGCTGGGGACTAAAAAACAAAACAAAAGCGCTCAAATTCAATTCATCTTGCCATCGAAATGCCAATAATCCGTTCCCGCCCTGCCTCGCCGTACTTCGGCCTCAGTTTTCTCCTATAGAAAAAGAGTACGCACTCCAAAAGGTTGTCCCTTCAAAAACAACAACGGAAGAAAATAGAATGCGGGCAATTAAACGGTTTGCTGCTCATGAGTTCATGCTGTGCCCAATTGACTGTGCCCTGTTCGCTTGGCCTCCAAGGGGAAGTGTAATACCGTTCTGCGGAAAGAAACCAAGACTCTTCCTCGCCTACTCCGGACGGTAGTGCAAGGGTCGCCGTTCTCCCATCGAGGTCGAAGAACGTACGCCTGTGAGGATTGTTATCGTCACTGTCGACGTGTGTCGCTCCACTGTTTGTGTTCAAATATCCATCGCTTCAAAAACCGCAACTACTGACGCTAACCACGACGATGGAAAGAATAACGTGTCAGCGTACGTCACGAAACGGAGTCTGTCGACGCAGAGCCACGCGGTTCTCGGAAATACGCCGCAGCCGCGTATTTCGCCTTGTTTTGTGCTTTGGTGTGAAAGGCGCTTGCCCTCATCGAACGCAACGACCAAAGTGGAAAGCGCACGAGAAAGACCGCACTTAGCAAGCCTACCCGGCCACGGGTAGGCGCAGGCAAAGTGCCATCGCAAACGACCTCAGCTATTCCCTCAAGTGACAAAGGAGTCTGTAAAAACGACAGTGGATATCTGATTCGTCACGGCGTAAAACCGCTCCAAATTTCCCTCCCAAGAGTAAAGGACTCCCTCCAAACAAGTCTCCGTCGACTAAACCGACAAAGAAGTTGAGCCAGTCAGCGCGAGCCCAGTAAGAAGCATCCTTTCACTTCATAGCGGTGCACGTCGCTCGGGGTGAGGTCATTCCAAGGGTCACGACGTGGCGGCGGTGGAGTCATTATCCGGGGGACCGTCGCCGCACGGAAAGGGAGGGAGTACATGCGTTACTGTCGACGTCACAACGAGCGGAAAGAAGCGTGCGTGCCTTGAGGTAGCGGGGACTTGACTTCCGAGTTGTTGGAGATATGACGAGCCGTCTTTCCATGACTTTTTTTATTTTGCCAGCGCCGACTCGAAGTACGAGTGCCGAAGGGCGGCAGGGAACTCGCTTCACTTGACAATAAGCGGCGCTTTGTCAACATTTCAAGGGCACCAAACAAAACCTGAGACAGTGACATGTCGCGGATTCAAAACAACCACATCGCTTCGCCTTTCAGCTTGCAAACTTAATGCTAATGCTAAGACGCGCCACAAACAAAAGGTGCCCCTGTCATCACCTTTTAAACAGAGATGGGCATTCCGCCCAAGTTTTTGGTTTTAAAGGAGAGGAGGCGGTTTTCGTCCGTCCCTTTAATCGTCTCTAGTATTTGAAGTACAGACTGTGGCATCGGGAGGCAAAATAACACTGCCAGAGTGGAGCCGAACACGCTATTTTCGGAACACGCCAGGACTGGAGTTCATCTCAAGGGTATTCCTTTCAGAGCAACACCGCCACCTAGCGCGCAATCAGAGAAGTGCCTCCGGAATCAGTCCAGCCGGTGTTGAAAGCTGGCTGGGTTTCTCGGGGCCCGCCCACCAAGCCCACCAAGCCCACCAAGCCCACCATGCCCACGGCGAGGATTTGGAAAAGTCAAAGCTTTTGATTGGCTGGCAAGCGGTTCGGGGTGTCCCCCCCCGGCCTACTGCCCGAAGACGGCCGGGGGCATGCCCTTGCGAGGATAAAAGCGGATCAGAAAATGGATGGAGGAGGATTTAGTTGATCAGAGCGACTATTTTTGTGTCGGGAAATACTCATGTCGAGTTGCTTATCGCCAAGACATTCAAAATAAAAAGGAAAGAAGGTTCGGCACGCGGGCGATGAATAGTCTGAGAGTCTGGCTGGCGCAAGATTTCTTTCGCCCGTTCACCCACCCAACCCAAGCGGAGTTCGGGGCTCATTTCACTGGGACACCGAGTCCATTCGTCAGTCAACTCGGCCACCGTCCAAACTATTTGAACGCGCGTGGCTTTTTTGGGTGGAGATTTTTTCAAAGCGAACACGGGCCTCGGCGAAACGTCGGCAAGCGACTCAACGCGTCGTTTCCATCCTATCGTGACGCAAGCGGACAGCTTTTTGTTGCTCGGAGCGGCGTGCCACGCCTTCACGCGGACAAAAGAGAACGCGCGGGACCCGCAAAGAAAGCGCCGGCCGCCTTGACGTACGACTTGAACTTGCTCGCAGCTCAACCACACTCCTCTTTCCCCATTCAAAGCAACGCAGATGCGTTGCGGGCTTCAAAATGTGTTTCCTGAGGAAAGTCGCCCCGCATCGTATCGCGCGCGCTTCCACTTGCACCGCATTGCACCCCCCAAACGTCACATTCACACGGCTGCTTAGCATTGGGGCCACTTTTATGTCATCAAAATCGTGTGACCTCAGCGAGAAAAACGCTGACCTGGCTCATGAAAACAAGTGGAAAAAAAAGAGACTTTTTTTGGTTTTTTCTTTCAGATGAGCGCCACATTCACATTGAAAGGAGGCCTCGGTGGCGTAGCCCGCCGCCACGCAACACCCGTTTAGGAATTCAGTCCGACTTCCGAAGCATCGTCACCTGCGCGGGCGACCTCGGGGCCGTTCGAAGGCACGTCGCGCCCTTTAGGAATCAAACTCCGGCCGCGGCTCAATCAGGACGCCGGCGTCGTTCCGTCTGCGGCCGCTCGGGTCCGGGCAGGGCGCTCCCAGGGCCGCCAGGCACAACCACGTCTGCAAACAACGCCGAGAAGTGGAGTGAAAAGAGTGCCACCACGGCTTCCTTCAACCTGACATCCGCTCACATCGGACACGCTTAGAAGGTTTCGTCTTGCTAAGTGACATTGGCTTTGGGGGCTGAATTCCCCGAGCGCCCCCCCCCCAAAAACAAACAAATTTTCATTAGTGTGTGTAAAAGGAGGAGCTTACCAAGTATCCCACAAAGGCCAGGTACGCTGCGGCCAGCAAGGCGGCCAGCGCGTAGAGCCACGCGCTGCTGAGCACGGCCACGTAAAGCACCACAAAGTACACGTTGATGGCGCAGACCGCCAGGATGACGAGGCCGCCCCACAGCTTCCAAAACCTGCGGGGAGAAAGTGGCGCCGGGCTCCCGATTTGCTTTTCGAGCGCACGCGGGCAACGTGGACGGCGCCGCACTCACAAGCCGTTGGCGAAGTCCTTCATGAGAGACGGCGAACTGGTGAACGTGAGGACGGGGATGAGGGCGAACGGAAGCTGCGGGACACAAAAAAAGACACTCGCGGTTCCACTCGGGCCGCCCGCCTCTGCCGAGTTTCGCGCGCCTTTTCCCGATACGGCGGCGTCTCGCCAAGCCGCGTCTTATCGATAAGCGCGATTGATCTCATTTGGCAAAACGCCGGATTCCCCGGCAGCGCATTTTTTATCTTTGATGTCGAACGGCGGCTCGTCAAAAAGTCACGTTTGACCGTTGGACGCGCCCGCTCAAAAGTGGAGCGAAGGCCCAATAAGGCTGCGCTGACCCTGCGGCGTGCGATGCCCAATTCCCATTTTTTGGGTTTCATCGCATCTTTTCGTGCATTTGTTTGCATCGCAAAATGCCAATGGCGCGGTACGACGTGGAGCGACGTAAAACTGGTCCCGCGCCAACGGGCTCATCTCCTATCGACGGAAGCGCAACGCTGTGGCAGGGTCTCCTAAAGACGACGTCGCGCGGAGCCAATGAAGCGCCACTTGATGCTTCGTGTTTCAGCTGCCGTTCCATATCGAATCGACAACGTGACACAAACGGACGATTGGCCGTCATTTCCCAAGCGCTCTCCGCCGCCCGCGTGGAGCGCATCTTACACTCTTGCTGACGAGCATTGGTACTGCGGGCGCATCGAATACGTACAGTAGATGAAGGGGGCGCAGTGGGGGGTCGTAATTGTATTGTTCACCCTGCATGAAAAATAGTGATACGAGTTGCATCTTGGGAAACAAAATTCCCGTTCAAATTCAGTGTGAACGCTCCCTCGGGTTTAAAGACATCATGCATTTTAGGTTGGAGCCAGATCACCCCCCACCCCTCGGGGTTAGCGTATGCATCGTATCCAATGGAAAAACGCGGGCCACCTGCATGCTCTGCAGCACGTTGAGGAAGTCGTTCATGCCCGTCAGATGGCGCACGTCCTGAAAGACGGCGACCAGCAGCGTGGGCACGATGGCCAGGGAGCGGGTCAGCGACACCCGAGCGAAGCGAGACCAGCGCAAGTTCAAAAAGCCCTGCGGGGACAAAAAGGACGTCGCCGGCGTCATTCGTCGCGGCCCGCTCAGAGCGGCTCTCGGCTCTCGCGCGCTGACCTCCATGACGAACTGGCCCGAGTAGGTTCCCGTCATGGTGGAGCTCTGACCGGCTGCCAGGATGCCCACGGCCCAGACGTAGAGGGCCGCCGGCCCGAAGAAACAGCCCAGGACCGCTCCCTGAACACAAAAGGACTCTCGGTCAAGCTCTTTGGCGCCGCGCCGACCTCAAGTCGAGTGTCCGAATGGGCCTCGAATCGGGACCGCGAACGTCAAGCAACTCGCAGCCAATCCGTGATGGAAAACGCCCGTTGGCATGCGAACCGTCCCTCCGCCCGGCGGAGCGACGCGCGCGCACGTGACGAGACGCGCAAGAACCATTCTGACGCGGAGTGGACGCAAAAGAGGAAGAGAAGCGAACGCATCTGTCAGCGGAGGCTCCTGCCTGCCTGCCTGGCTGGCTGGCTGGGGGGGCCTTATACTGCCGCCCGGTGGCCAAGCGGGGTACACCAATGACGACGGGATTACGCTCCAGTCTTCCAAAGCAAGCGAGATTCCACACGGCCCGTTTGAACAACACCTGGACTGAAAAGTAAGGTAGACGCAGAGGACTTCAACACGTTATTAACATTCGTTCATTTTCCAAAGCGCTTTCTCCTCACGAGGGTCGCGGGGGGGCGCCGGAGCCCATCCCAGCCGTCTGCGGGCAGTCGGCGGGGGACACCCTGAATCAGTTGCCGGTCAATCACAGAGACCAACAACCATGCACGCCCACACTCACGCCTCGGGACAATTGAGAGCGTTCAATCAGCCTGCCGCGCATGTTTTTGGAATGTGGGAGGAAAGCCGAGTACCCGCAGAAAAGCCACGCGGGCAAACTCCACACGGGGAGGCCGGAGATGGAATTGAACTCGGTACCTTTGCACTGTGAAGTCGACGTGCTAACCACTAGACCGCCCTTGTTCTTAACATAGCAAGTAAATGATGGGGTGGGGGACCGAATGAACAGAGAAAATGAGATTTTTTTTTCCCTCAACGGAACAACAAATGGCCAACGACATAAAATAAGCCTGCAGGCTGCCAGGTTTGGGATGCGTTCTGTGCTGTTAACGTGCCACCGGTCGTCCTGGGCTGGTTTCCTGGTCTCTTGCGCCCCCAAAATGGCCCACCCTTGAGGTGGCACTCCCAACCCATCCAAGAGAGAAAGAAAGACAGAAAGGGAGGAAAACAACATTGATCACGCAGGTGAGGCACGTCGCGGATGCGCTTGCGTCAACGCCTCCAAGATGGCGGCGTACAAGTGATGTCATTATTTTGCTCCGTAATGGGCCTCAACCTTTTAGTTTTTCAGGGAATCACATGCCAGAGCCGATTGCGTTTTTCATATTTCTGCCCAATAGTTCGGAAGGGGGACGCGTGTTGCCCTGCGCTCCCAAGTCTCGGTTTTCCGATGCAGAGGACGGACGAGGTGCTTCACCTCATCGGCCCCGACGAGGCTTTGCTTTAGCCAACGTCGCGTCCTCGGCGGTCGGGGTCGCGAAAGCCGTGCCAACGGCGAGACCGAAACGGCCCCCTCGAAACCGCGCGACCTCGCCGCTAGGAAGAGGTCTGGCCTTCGTTGTCATCGGTGCAATTGGACGCAAAAAGCGCACGCAGCGCTTTCGTCAACGTTGCGCAAGAGACCGCTCCCGAGGGGTTTCTGAAGACGTGAGAAAAGAGTGTGCCGTACCCCCTTGTAGATGTCCACCTCGAGAGTGCGGTTGTCGAGAGGAAAGAGGTGCGAGTGCGGGCTCCCCGTCCGGTTGCAGACATGGTTCTGCAACGGAAGCGCCCCGCAACTGAAGCCAGCAGAAAAAAGGCGGGACGCGCCGCCTCCGGCTCAACGAGGGGAGGAGAAAGGAACTCACCACTTGCGCGTTGGTGCGCTCATAAAAGGCCTCGGCGAAGACGGCCACCACAAACACGTTGATGATGAAGGACACCAACAAGGCCGCGCAGGACTCAACGAAGAAATACTTGTTGGCCTCGCTGATGCGCTTCTTGCTGGAGCGATCCACCTCTCGAGACTGAGGAGGACAGTCGGCAACGATGAGCCGCGGCGGCGGCGCAAAGGAGAGCGGGGCGTCGTCCGCCTCGGCGCCACCTTGACCAGAGCGGAGTGCAGGTAAATGTTGTGGGGCATGATGACGGCGCCCACGATGCCCACCGCCTGACCCAGCTGGACGGCGCCGCAGCCTTGGCAAGACGGCACAAACATCCCCATCAGCAGCTGGCTTTGGTCCGGTCTCACCGTCACGTACTGGCGGGGGGGGG